GTTAAGTGCCATCGCAATTTTTGGCTCGGGAAAGAAAAAAACAGCTTTAGTCCCATCTGACATCTACAGAGGTATGTGCTGACACTCCCTGCCAAAGATGAGCTCCAGCATCTTCCAAAAGATGGATTATGTGTGGCACTGTTAAAATATGTGCTGCTGGGTTAAACCCATTGTATTTGGTTTGGGTTCTGCTCCTGTATTTCCATCTGAATTTTGATAGCCATAACATACGGCTGGTTTTCGGTGAGTGCTGTATCACTGGAGAAGAGGGAGGCAGGTGAGGACTCTGGGGTTAGCATTCCCAAGGTCTGTCTAGCCGCTGGAGAAGCCACCAGTCATCTGTATCTCAGGTTTTCCATCTATGAAATGGGAATGGTGATGGTATACAGTATCAGTGTTCAGAGGATTAGATAAGGAAATATGTATGCTGCTTTGTGATTCCTATGTGACAGGTGACATATAGCTGCATAAAGTATGATAATCATTGCATCTGGGTCGCTGGACATATCTGCTGGTTTAAACAGCCACCGCGTTTTTAGACCTCTCTTCAACCAATGGTGATGGTGATGTGGCTTTGGAAAAAAATAGTTTATATTAAAATTGGTAGTGAAAATGTTTCCCAGGCTAGTTTATAATCTCTTAAGTGTAGTGACATGGGGAAATGCTTAAGCTGTAAGAAGGAATGTATGGCATGGCTGATTACTGCAGAGCCTCTGCAGCCTGCCCGGGCTCCTTGGGATAATGGTGAGCCAGGAATCCCAAGCAGCCCTCTAATCCACGTGCTGATTGACAAGGTCGGCACATCAGAAGGAAAAAAAAAGGGGGGGATGGGGAAAGACAGAAGCAATGTGGTGGATCAAGAAGTTAAAATGGTAACAGCATTTGGCTGAGCAGCGGTTCTCCTTCAGATAATTGCCCACACGGCGTTGCAGTGTTTGCACCTGCATGATGGATGGGGCCGACCATGTTTTCTCAGCTATGGGTGGTAGCAGGGAGGGGATATTTCAATTAAAACGTGAATAAATTAGAATTGATTACAAATAGAGCTATTTGTTTATGCTGCCTAAAAAGGTATTAGCTGTGAACAAGGTGCACTTAATCATTACAGAAAGAAGCTTGAAAGTTAATAAAACACACTGCTGATCCTTACAGAGGGATGCCAGCTTTGGGTTAAATCTGTAGCTATTTTAGTTTTAAAGCCCCAACTGTCATTTTGAAGGCATATGCATTTTGGATTTTAACGTGTTTGAATGATGCAGCTGAGGCCCAGGCCAAGCCGACCCTAAAATTGGCAGTAAAATGTTACCTCTGTGCAAGCGTGCAAAATGAAGGAATACAGGAATAGGAGCAATAAGCATGTGCCCCCTCTCCCCGGGAGTCTCCTAACATGGAAACCAGGAGCTTTCTGGAAATAAACACCCTCTGAGCAAAGCAGAGGACTCCTCTCAAAACTTGCCTACAGTCAATGCTCGGGAAGATTAACTGCCAGCAGTGAAGGAAGGGAAAGCGCCAGAAGGAGTGGGACACCGAAGCGGCACAAGTAAGGAAGGAGGGCCCGGCCGGCCGCCCGCGCAGTGCCCCGCGGGGCTGGTCTTTGCTCCGATCCCCCAGTTGCAAGCGGAGCCTGAAGAACCTCCGTAGCCGGGTAGAACCAGAGCATCTGGATAGGCAGGTAATGCAGAGCTGTCCCCGCAAGCTGGCAGCACGGGGTTTGCAGAAACCACAGCGATGCAAGCTGGAAGACTGTAACAAATCTCCCTGCCATCTTCAGGCATTACCGGCTAACAGAAATAAGTAGTTCTGAAAACAGATCTAGCCCCCATTGCCAGGGGAGAAGAAGAGGAGGCTCTGAAAGAACTTCTTCTAAACACTTGACTATTTTCCCTGTAACTTAAGGCCCCTCCACCAGTTGCGAGCGGGGTTATAATACTTCATTGCCTCCCTGAGGTCGTGTTGAAATTGGTCAGTGAAGATGGTGGGGAAATCAAGCCCGTCGTTGATGCGATGCTGGTATTTGCAATAGATGCCAGAGCGGTACTTAATGTACAAGTGTCCTGCCGTAGCTGAGAGGGTGTTCCTGGATGTCTGCACCAGCCCCGATTTCTCTCCTGGACAAGTGAAGGAGAAATTTCTAGTCCAGCAGAGATTTAATTCAGATACCTAGCTTTAATCATAGAGATTATCTCACTGACTTCACTGAAAGCATTTCAAGTCAGAGTTAAGGGATATAACCTTATGCAGAGATGCTTTCAGGTGAGACATGTATGCTTCCTACGTGGAAAAAAATGCAAATCATACATAAGCAACCCTGCCTCCCCGACAAAACACCGGCAAAGCTCTAACCTCCTGCTGCGTGCATGGTTCCTGCAGGCCTGAATGGTAAGGAGTCTGGAACTGAGGGTTGCCCTGATGCCCCTGTCCCCCCCATGGCCTGTGGGCTGGAGCTTCATTCACCAGGTGACTTTTTGTGGCCAAGGTCTCCTCCGAATGCTGCCTGGCAGTCCAAGAAAAACATGAAATGGTCTCTGCTGCAAACTCGGCTCTGAAGTACTATTTGGGACATGTAAACAATTTCCTCCGCAAGCGATGCTTCAAATTACAAAGCTATGTTTGCAGCTTGACAGAGATGTTTATGTTTTTGTGGCTGGCTACATGTGTTGTGTGAAAGGCATTTCCGAATTTGTATTTAAACATACTGGGCTATCTTCTGTCTTCCAGCTAAGGCAGGGTACCCCCATTGCTTTGCGTGCTACCCATGAACTAGAAGGAGTAAAATTAGCACCTTGTGTTTAAGGGTTTCAAATAGATGCTTGATCCTGGAGTGGTCACTGAGGGGGATTAAACTGGAAATCAGTCCCTTAGCGCTGTGCTCAAAGATCATGTCGAGTCACCTTAAAACATTTGGGTTGAAATTGCAGAGAAATTTGTTCATGAGAAGAATCCGTGGTGCAATTCATTCACTGCAGCAGCTCTCAATGCTTTACTCTGGGTCTGCTCTTGTATTTGCGGGTTCTCCCTGAAGTGAGTGGAAATTTTGTGCCCATACATCAAGGTTAGGATGAGGTGCTCTGTGTACGTATGATGTAGATAAATTGCTTGATGACCGTGAACCGTGCTATTCCAGAGCTCAGCAATAAATCACACGCTAGGCTTTAAAATGCACAAATGGGAGCAAGATGCTAACTGGTTTCCAGGTGGGAAATGGTCAACAAAATCCTTTTCTTTTTTTTTTCCTTTGTAAATCTATCCTACTATCAGCAAATTAGATATGAAAGAAAAGGTGCCCAATATAAGGCATTGCTGGCATATGGAGGACTTACTTGCGCTGGCCTCGTTGTCTGCTTTTCTTTGTGTTCCGGTTCTGCCATCGATGTTTTGTGGATATTGTTGCATTCCGGGGTATTAACAGGATTTTACATTTTTAGCTAGCTAATGATGGGGGACTTCTGACTGGCATATTCTAGCCCTACGGGGTATTCTATTTCTGGTATTTATTAACATTTTCTGTCATACAATATACAGTGAAAGCGATGAGCCTCAGACCTCTTGGTATGTAAAATAGGAATGCTTAAAAAAGGCAACTTTTTTATTCTTTTGGTATTCTGGTTTCCTAATTTCCCCCCCGTGTGCTGTGTCACCGCTGGCTGGTGAGCTGGGACATGGCTGCCAATCAATATCCCACACGGAGAAAAAGAAATTGCTGCCACTCAGGTGGAATATGTATATATGTATTTTAACCAAAGTTGAGATATGATTTTAAAAAAAATGTACTTTGAAGTCTGTTTTGTAGTTTTAATTAATGCAACGGGGGCTTTTATTTTACTCTCAGTGGAGATAATCCATTCACAGTGACCTTTTCTTGTGCAAATTAGCTATACACGCTTGTTTAAGCAAATGGGCCTTTGCAAGATGTCTCTTCCTAAAGACGGAGCTTATGATTGAAAATTGGCTTACTCCCATCTGTCTGGGCTGTGTGAGAATACAAACGTAGATCCGGACTTTTTTATATATAAAATATAATCATATACATATGTATATACATACACATATACACACATACAAAAAAAAATTGCTGTGCCTGCAGGCTACAGTTAAATTAGATTATTAGTGTTAGAAAATTTCAGTGCCACAAGTTACTGTGAAAATAACATTTGTCTGCAGAGTCCAGGACGCTCTGGAGAGCGGAGGGTGTTTAATCTGGATCCTTTTGTCTCAGATGAGGTGGCTGCCATTCGCAGTTCCATGGGTTCGCTGGAAGTACAATTAGCTAATAACAGGCTGGAAACTGTTAGGATTTGATGTGTGGTTTTGGCGAATGGTTTTGAGGTGATTGATGGAATCAGGAAAAATCCCAGGAGTGTCTATAAGGGCTTAAAGTTTTAATTCGGAGGAGCAGGGGTCATTGCAGCTATGTGGTTAATTGCCAAAATTTGGCAGTTTATCCCTCTCACCACACTTGACAATAACCACCAAGTGAGTCATTGTAACCCCCCTCCCCGTCCCTTTTTTTGTGCCTGCTTGATAAGGGAAGATTTCTTTGGCAGAGTTTGAATATTTTTTGCTTTGCATAAACCTCTTGTGCAGAAATGAACACAATTGTGCATGACTTTGACTAAATCTGAATAGAAGTCAGGGTCACAGAAGTGCCGCAACAATGCTTTGGGTATCAAAATATTTAATATAAGTTTGTTGTTAGAACTAATGCACGCCTGTTTATATAGAAATGGCTGATTAGTGCAAAGGCAAAATTATTTCCTTCCTTCTCAGTTTCATTACCACTCTTCCCAGCTCTCTCCCATGGTGTTTGCTCCTGAGAAGGAACAAAAAGGAGCCGGGGAGACGGCTGACACACGCGTGCATGGAGGGAGCTAGTGGTGAGCGGTCTCGGTCAGGGATGATTTTATCCAGATGTGTCTCAACAGCTGTTTGCATTTTCACACCCAGTTACTCTAGGACTCGCCACTAATTGAATTTTCTCTTTTCTCCCCTCTTCTTGTTAGGTATGATTACCGTGAAATGCTGCACAATGCCACTTTCTGTCTGGTTCCCCGTGGCCGCAGGCTTGGCTCTTTCAGGTTTCTGGAAGCCTTGCAGGTAAGAGCTGCAGTTTAAAGCATCGGCTACGCTGGCTGCAATTCAGCGTGCAATAGCAAGGAGGTGGGGAGGAGGAAAATGTGTTTGATTTCCCTAGCGGACAGTAATCCACTTTGCGAAAGGCTCTATTCATACTTCTGGAGCAATTGGCAGCTTCTTCCCAGGAGGGGCTGAGCACTGAGCTCATCTGAAGGTTGAATTGCGTTACCTCCAGGAAGAGGGTTTCCCTGGATGTGGTGAGACCGAGAGGTTGGACCAGTTTAGAGCAGTATTTTATCAAGCTGTGAGACTTTCCATGGGAGACACTGGCCTCTACAAGTAAGCCCCGGGGCAGTAAAAATAGCTTTTTGTTTTCACTTAGCCAAAACAGACCTGCTTATGCATTGCCTGTCTTGAGATGGTGCTTGCTGAACATGCAGAAGGTGGCCTGGAGGTTGTAAAGCCTCAAATGGAAGCTTCACATGAAGGTGGATGTAGGCTGATCTCGGGGAGCTCGCAGTGTGTCTGGGACAGCTCCTGAATCCCCTTCACCTTTTAAAAACATTTTCATAGAATCATAGAATGCTTTGGGATGGAAGGAACCTTTAAAGTTCATCTTGTCCATCCCCCCTGCCAAGGGCAGGGACATCTACAACTCGATCAGGTTGCTCAGAGCCCCATCCAGCCTGGCCTTGAATGTTTCCAAGGATGGGGCATCTACCACCTCTCTGGGCAACCCGTTCCAGTGTTTCATTACCCTCATTGTAAAAAATTTCTTCCTTATATCTAGTCTGAATCTACCCCCTTTTAGTTTAAAAGCCATTACCCCTTGTCCTATCACTATTGGCCCTGCCCTGCTAACTGTCCCCATCTTTCTTATAAGCCCCCTTTAAGTACTGAAGGGCTGCTATAAGGTCTCCCTGGAGCCTTCTCTTCTCCAGGCTGAACAACCTCAGCTCTTTCAGCCTTTCCTCGTAGCAGAGGTGCTCCATCCCTCTGATCATTTTTGTGGCCCTCATAACCATTTTGGTTAATGGTCTCCCTTTTTTGCTGTTGGCCAGCAGCAGAGGGCAATGCGAAGGGGCTCCTGAGTCACTGGCAGCCGGGCTGCTTGGCAGCACAGTGATCAAGCCCGACACTGACCTACTCTGGCTGCAGCCAGCGTGACCTTTTTTTTTTCACAAGCTTCAGCTCAGCCTGGGGTCTTGAATCTTCAGTCAGCCATACAGAGCACCTTGGGAGATGCTGCAGGTCCCCTCTAGGACTGGCATCTGGATTTCCATGGGGGCTGGAGTGGAGGGAAGGGGAGGTGGAGGCACTTCTTGGTGTCAGTGAGATGGCAAATGAGGGCACCTTGCAGGGTCCTGTCTCCAGGTGTCCTTTTGCATTTGGGAAGTGTCCCAACATCGGCAGTAAAGCTGTTAATGAATAGCATCACATCACTTTTCTTCATCAACCAGAAAATGTCCCAGACGCTATTAAAGAGTATTATTTACTGCAATGCAGAGCAGGATTCCGGTACCTAAGTGTAGGTGTATAGTGTCATTTTAGAAGCCCAGGGGTACCCTTCTAGCTTTCTGCTGCTTCTCCTGTGTCATGTCTGCCAGCCTTTGATGGGTTTCTTGGATACGCTAGAGCATGCGCTGGGCGCTTAGGTTTAACCACTGAACCCCACACCTACTGTCACATTTGAGATCCAAGTTTTGGACTGTCACTTACCTCTTTGCTCCTACTCAGGAGAAGATTAATAGCCTGCAAAGTGCTGTTCCCTCTCCAGCCTCTTCGGAGGAAGAAGTGGGACTGGCTTATTGGGGATGACGAGTCACTTCGGATCCTCCCAAAGAGCACTGCTCAGCTCTTTTCTCATCTGGGCCACAAGTCATGCAGCTTCTGTTAGATACATCATCTCAGGAGAAGAAAGCAGGGAGCGTACGTCACTGTACAGAAGTTGGAGGCTTCAGGTTGATGATGATAAAATGCAGGCACTGAGTATTTTCCTAGCAGGCTAGCAGCAGTATTCACCGATTATGATGAATTCACAATTTCTGTCTGGCTCCAGGGCATGTTGAAAGACGTAATCCACATTAGTGGAATGTTTTAAACATGAAAACACATTGCTAAGTGTTTTCTGGTTGGCTTTTTTCATGCACTAATGTAATTTCCTTACAGAAGATCACAGTTCTTTACACGTTATAAGCACTGCAGTAATGCAGAGACTTGACCAGTCTAAGATCCTGTGTGTAATACATGTTACCAAGGAAGGTACAGCAGTTTGAAAGGTTCCCCTTTATGCCATCTTTTGGGAGGTACAGGAGGGACTGACCTTGGTTGGGACCAAATTCAGAGCACTTAAGCTTGTCTTGATCCAAAAGAAACTGAACCAGAGCACAGGCTCAATCCATATCCTCTGGTAACAGGTTCTTGCATCACATCGGGAGGCTTTTGGATTGGATCGTGTTGTGATCTGGCCGACCAGAACATAGTGGCGATCACTTATTTACGGAAATGCTGCCCTATTTACTGAATTTTCGCAAACTTGCTGTCTGTGCAGAGGAACTTGCACAACTCGTAGAGGGTTAAATAATTTAGACAGATCATACTGCTACGAAATAGATACTCAATGTGTGTGCTTTTTGTTTGTTTTAAGACAGAAAGCAATTCTTACTTTTGTAGACAGGTGATGACAGATGAGTTGTGTTTGTGTAGTTGCCTCTGTTTGGAGAGTTGATATCAAACAGGATAGGGAATTCACTCCTCCTTTGTGGCAAAAGTGCTCTGGAATTAAATATGATCTGTATTTTCTGTAGGGTTGTCTTGCAACATATTATAAAAATGGAGGGAGTTCGCTCCCTGCTGAATGGTTCACAAAGCAGCGAGGGAGGCCATCATTTTGTGTTAAATTCTCCGGTGTTACATCTGCAGCATTTTAACCGTTCTGCCCTCGTCTGGCAGTGTAAGCACCGGATTTCAAATGTCACTCTCCATACAAACCCCACCTCGCAGTGAATATGAATAAGCGCAAAGTGGAAAACCATAAAAATTTGGGCTGCCCTCCCGTGGTCTCTAGCTTCTGGTGTTCTTTGCCATGTTGCCTCTCCTGACCACCTTCACGAGAGCTGGCTCAGAGCTTTTGCAGAAAATGACAGTAGCAGTGTTGGTGCGAACCTCAGAGCTTGCCCTCGTGGTTGGGTACCCGCTAACGGCTGCGATGCCTCTGTGTGCTGCAGGCTGCCTGCGTCCCGGTTATGCTCAGCAACGGATGGGAGTTGCCGTTCTCGGAAGTGATTGATTGGAACCAAGCTGCCGTCATAGGCGATGAGAGATTGTTATTACAGGTAAGAAAAAGACGGCGGCCTTCAGTGGATCAGTTGATTATTGCTGCCGCCATCTAAATGGACGGGGAAGATGAATCCAAAAGGTCAGGGCTGTAAAAGAATTTTTATCATGAAGGGATTGTCTGTGTCACACTGGTTATGAACTCATTTAATATGACATCATTCATTTTTTGTCCTGAAGGTCATTGCAGCCACCAGGCCACATTCTTAAGCGCAGGAGACACTTATTTTTCCTAAGAGCGTGAAATTTCTTCCGGTGCCTCTCTGAGGCAGAGCTGTCCTGGACCAGGTGCTGTGATGAGAGAGAAAACATTTGAAGGCAGGTTCTGCTCTCGTCCTTCAGAAGTAGTTTATCCTCAGGAGTCCCACCAGCGCTGCGTGGCTGGCTGGCACATACGGAAGGGACTCCTCAGGAGAGCAGGTATTTTTCTCAAGCAGGAGTTACCACCTAACATTTTTGTGGGGAGCAGAATATGTCCCTTCTCTGATGTCTGGAGCATGTAACATTGCTTTCTGAAGCAGTGTTCATGTCACTTTTTGTTAATCTCCTTGAGATCATGGAACAAAAGCAGGCTGAGAAGTTAGAAATTCCCTGCTACCTTCAGCATTTCTTCTGCATACCTTCTACTTTGGTTTTAAATTCACTAGATTTTTTTTTTCTGTTTCCCTAGTGGGCTTTTTGGTCTAAATACATTGTGTAAAGTATGTGGAGAAGTAATGTTAGAAAAAGTTATTGAAAAACTCGTTTCCCCAAAGTAGCATTTGATAAAATGCCATTGCCCAGCATGAAGCTGAGATCCATGAGATCTGGAATAGCCACTAAGTAGCCACTAAGAAGGTTTTTTTTTTATGGTTGAATTTAACTCATTTCCAAAGTGGCAGGCTATTGTCAACCCCGGAAAGGAGCCTTCAAATGTACAGGTGTCTTGGCAACCCAAAAATGAAGTACTTTTGAAAATCTCTTTCGATGCCTATTTACTTGTCTGAAGAAGTAAATATTTGTGAAGAGCTGGCCTAGCAAGCCTTGCAAAGTGCTGCCTAGTCTCCTTAATGCGATACAAGCTGCAAATACAAAAGGGCCATTTGATTTTCGCTTCTGTGGACAGCACATTTTTCTGTGCAAAATTATTTCTGTCTTTAAATAATAATAATTTGCTGATCTTCATGCTTTCCGGTAACATGCCATTCGTTCTCTTCACAGCTGCTTCCATATTGAACAGCCACTGCACCGTTATTAACAGTGTTTTTAAAGAGCTGGCAGAGGGCCTGAATGTCTGCTCTGGGAAATGTTTTTGTTGTGTTACAGTTTTTCATTTCCTGTTTGAGAGCAGCTCGGATGTTTTTATTTGCATATTCTCCTCATCATAGCGCTGGGAGAGCTTAATCCAGCCTTTCTGCATTGATTTGTGCAGGGTGGTTTTTCCCTTCCCCCTACTTATTACTGAAATGACCTTTTATTAAGACATCATCCCGTTCTAATAATTCCAGTGTAATCCTGCCAGATTAGTATTAATACATCATTTTCCCCACTTGTCTTTCTGGACAAGTAGATTAATAACTAATAGGCAAATGCAGTTAAAATGGGAGCTCTGATTTTTCTTTCCAGCTGTTGTAATGGAGCAGGCACCAAGGCTTTTTTTTAACCTCGGCACTGCGTTTGCAGGCACTCGCAAGCGTGGTGTGGTCTGTAAAATCATCACTTCTTGCAGTACCCTTCACCGTCAGAGCAGCCTTCCCTTTCAGAAGGCGTAGTTGGGAATGAGTATTGATTTTATTTCTTGCTCACACACGTATGCACACACACGCAAGGTTGCACATAATGCAATGAAATGAATGAGTGAATAGAAAAAACGCCATATGACCACTTGTGAAGTGACTTTGGTCATGTGTTTGCTGTTGATAATGATCCCAGGTGTGATTAATACACATCTGTGTACAGCCAGTACAGGTAATGTTCATTAGCCCTCTACTTATTGGAACTTACTGGAAAAGTAATGAAAAAAAAAAGAATATTCACCTCAAAAGATGAAATTTGATGCAGTTATTTACCATTCTGGACTACTGCCGTGATCAGTTAGAAAAACATGTACTAACACATGTTTTTAGCTTCTATCTTTCATACTAGATTTGCAGGGAATATTTTACCTCAAGACCTGTGTTTTCCCTAAAGGGCCTATAGCGAAGGAACGTAAAGTACCATCTTCGACAGTCTGACCGTTTTCTTCTGTTCCACCTTGCTGTAGTGCTAACTCTCTTACAAGCTCAAATTCTGTATTATAGCTAGCAGTGTCTCTAAGATGAAGGTCTAAGAGTCAAAGGTCTTCGAGAGCAGAGATTGTCCCATCTGACACTGCGCCCTGTGGAGCCATGGTCCTGTTGTACACAGTGTGTAGTCCTGGATGCAGACAATGCAGTAAAGAATTTACTGATTCTTGTGGAAATTTTTTACATATAAATTCTTAAAATCTCAAATTTTCTTCAGGAAGATGTTTCATGTGAAATCATTTGATTCTGGAGCATGTGAAAGCAAATAACGATCACTGCCGCCTGTCAATATTTTAGGAATAAGCAAAGTGTGTTTTGGTCAGGCAAGGGCGGGATGTGGTGGGGTGCAGGCAGACTTCAGAATGAGCTGGGATGTGCAAAAAGCAACACACAGCCCAGGTCTATGCTTTTACAACTAATGACTTAGGTAAAAGATTTATGAGAAATGAATGTCTGAGAACAAGGTGGGCCTAATTTGAAATCACAAAAAAGTAGGCACAAAAGCACAACTCTTCATTCCTAGAAAAAAATGAACACAAATCAGCAGCGTATCCTAGATGGCTTTCTGGTGCTGTGAGTAGCCCTTGTAACTGAAGCAAATTGCAGTTAAATTCCCTTGATAATGTCAATTTGCACTGTCAAAGTGGTGTACTGGAGGCCTTAGTCAAGGTCTTAAGTTAAAGAATGACATGTACGTACATTAGTTTCCCACCAGTGTGGAAGAGGGATGTGGGGATGGGTCAAGACGTAGAAGTGAAGCCCTCCACTTCTGATCCAGTGAGCAGCTACTTTTTTAATGGCAAAGCATCACAGCAGGACAATTTGGGGTTTATTTGTAAGGCAACTTACACCAGAATTAACATGTTGATTTAATGGAGAGGGGAAAAAAGAAGCAGTGTTTTCCCTTGTGAATAACAGGTGGCGTGGGACACATTATTCTTTCCACCCACAGTAATTAGTAAAATGCAATTTGATCCGCAGGCTCCCAAAAAGTGGAGTCTTTCTTAAGATGTTGCTATGTTTTCCTTAGGGCACTTAGTGTTTCCATGCTGCAGTAAATGCAATTCCAGATCCCTTTAATACACTTTGAGAGTGGGGATTATTGGACTCCCAAGACTTGCAGGTACTAGTTTGTTAAAATACTAGTCCATGGAAAGCTTTGTGCATGACGGATGTATGGAGGAGCTCCTTACTGTGCCACGCCACAGCACTGGGGAGAGGGAGCTTTTGTTACTATAAAATGACCAAAAACTAAAAGAGGGCAGATTAAAAAAAAGTCATATATTCAGTACCAAAGGTTATAAAGGGTTGTGTCTCATTCCTTTTACATCAAGGCTTTAACTGTTGACACCCGCACCTCTGTCAGACAGGAGCGCTGAAGCTGTGCAGCTTGCTAATAGAGGAGAGGGCTTGTCAGCAGCATATTAATTTGATGGGATTGCGTTGTTTTCTGAAGCCTCTGACTGTATTACATCTTGTATTACAGATTCCTTCTACAATCAGGTCTATCCATCAGGATAAAATCCTAGCACTTAGACAGCAGACACAGTTCTTGTGGGAGGCTTATTTTTCTTCAGTTGAGAAGATTGTATTGACTACACTAGAGGTGAGTAAAAATTGTCTGGGACCTTGCCGAGCAGCAAGGTTTTCATACCTGTCCAGCTGCTCCTGTCCTCAGCCGGCATCAGACCTTGGTTTTCATGACATGCAATTGGTCACTGGGAAAAAAGTCCAGCATGTTGATAAGTTTTCTCCCCTAAGAAAATACTTTCTTCATTATCGAAATCCACATTAGAAAACTGACACAGTGAAAAATGGGAGCTACCTGACACATGGAAAAGTTGTCACGTGTGATCTTGCCTTCACAAGGCTTTATGGCTCTTGAATCACTACCCTTGGTCATTGGTAGTGAATATGTTTCTTTAAGAAACCTTTCTGGAATTCATTTTGGAAAACATATTACTGTAGAGCTCTTCCTTGACCATTCTTTAGTATTTTGATGCCTTGTGATGGGGCTATTGGTCTGGCTGAAGGAAAAGGGGGGGCTTGTAAATCACTGTTTTATCTTCACACACAGGATAAGGGAAAGGCCTGATCATCCTTATAAAATATTAATCAATAATCATAATTAGACTTCTATTAAACAGGGAGACAGATGATCTCAAATGTGGAGAGAATCCTTTCTGAATTCAGAGACAGAGAGATGAAAGGCTCTTTAGAAGTAGGGCCCAGGCTACAATTTTAAAAGCAGGTTTCTCTTCTAATTGTTTCACAATTTTGCACATAAATTTTTGACACACTTTTACCACTGAAAGTGGCTCAGTTTGTAGGTGCAGATGCATTCATCTTGTGCTACTGCTTCTGCAATTGCATCCGTCTTTGTGCACAGTTGTAAAGTTCCACATTTCCTGCTGTGCCTGCTTCCCCCTGAAAACTGCAAATGAGTGCTGCTGCCTGCAGCACAGGTTGCCCGTGGCTGATCTACCTCCAGCTGCTGCAAGACAGTCCCTTAGGTTTTTCTGTGCCAGTGAAGAAAACCAGCCAGGGAACGTTTTCGGAGCCCCTGGCATAGCTATCCTTGCAACGCTCTCCTCCCCCTGGAAGAGCATGTCTTCATCTGTGCTGCCTGCTGGGAGCTGCTCTGCATCCTCAAACTCCCGATAAGCACTGATGAGATAGCGATAATTATCACAGCCCACGCCAGGATCGGACTAACAAAGCTGGAAGACCACATGCCAGTGCTCGCAGTCTAATTTACCCTTACAGAAGTACCCTTAGGGACAATCAGGGTGCCTCGTGTATCATCTGCCCCTTCCTTACACACACTTTGTTATCATTAGGGATCGCTACAAGGAGAGGGGTGCACAGCTCTCCTCGATGCCCCTCTCCTGCCCCTGCTGGGGCTGCTCTCGAGGGGCCGTAACCTGCGGCCCCCATGGCCTTGGTGTCCATTACGCCAGGCCCCAGCGCTCACAGATGTGTCTTTAGCACTGCCCCGGGACATGTTGGCCCATGTGGCCGCAGGTGCCCAGGGGACAGCAAAACCCATAATAAAGCTGAAGCAGCTGGGCAGCCAGCAAGCTGGAGTTGCCGCTTGGAGGGGAAAAACTGAAGTGAAAACAAAAATCTTCCTGGAAGGTTTAATTTAATGAAGCCGCGTAATGTATGCCTGGTGTTGAAGTTATGTTCTGGGTTTTTTCATTTGTTTGCGAGGGTGGTTTTGGTTTGAGGGGGTTTTTGTTTATTTTGTAATTCAAGACTCTCAGAGATTTTTGAGACAGCTAAGAAGGATTCTGTTCTTACGAACAGATACTTGTTTCACATTTCAACTTGCCTAAGTAAAGTCCTGAGTTAACTTTCCTTAGGAAAGGAATAAGACAGTTGAGAGGGATTTTTGGTGTCCGAAATCTGCAAGCAGTATATCCTCTTCTTAAAATCTGATGCCTGGAAGTAAATTCCTAGCAGGATTATTTTTTTCTGGTTAATGTTATCCATTTTCTGTTGTAACACTGTTGTGTCAGAATGCTCTGATGATGCTAGAGAGCGTCAGAATAATCACTTGCCTTCTAACTGCAGTGCTGGTACATATGCACATGTGAGGATATCAGTACAGAAAAAGTCTTCACCAACTCAGGTGTCTGCAAGGACATCACAGCTCTTCTCTGCCCTTTATCCTGGATGCCTCTGAAAACATTAAGTCACATTTTAAGGTCCTTGACCTTCTCACAGCATTTGGTGGCCTAAGCCAAACAGCTCATAGCCCAGAATGAGAGGTTTGAATCATTTGGCCAGCAACCCCATATTGCAGGCACAGAGGAACTGCCCGGTGCCGAGGAGATGCTGTGGGTTAGGAAACGATGTTCATGACTGTCTGCCGCAGGCTGGCGAGTGGGAGCGCTTGCAGCGCAGCAGTGGACTGCTGCAAACACCATCCAGACACATGCTCCAGTGTATCTGTGCTTTTTCAGCTTGGTCTTCTCTGAAAACAAAGCCAAACCATCCCTAAATCCCTGTGCGGCGTGCTCAGTCCTCCGCTCGGGAAAAGCAGGGGAGAGGGACAGCACAAAGTACAGACAAGAAATGCTTGATGCTTGGCTGGGGCATGTTGAGAAGCAGCAATGATTAAGGCAATATGTGAACTTTTTGAAGCATGAGGATGAGGGAGACAAAAGTATCGGATCATTAATGAATTCCAAAAAGAAAAGGGAGATCTCACCAGAGATCTTAACCCCTTCCTCCTCTGATTAAACTTCCTGTCATGCCTCATCATTGGAGAGACCGTGTAGCTGCTGTCTCTGCAATATGGGCAGCGCTAAACACTCTGCATTTTAATTCATTGGTCCTCCATGTTATCTTTTTTTTATACTTTTCTGTTCTCTTTCTGCCAAGTTGTCTTTTCTTCCCTCTATCATGACAGACAGCTAGGTTTCTTCTGTAGACCAGGAGCGTGATAAATTAATCTTCCCTTTGTTAGCTGTGGTAAATCACCGAGGCCGGCTCCCCAGCCTGGTGCGGAGCCGCGCTGGTGAGGTTTGTGTGCCTGACGCGCACCAAAGGCTGCGTGTGCTGCATGGCACCAGGGGCCTGCTCCGTGTTAGAGCTGCGCTCGCTCCGGGTGCGCCGAGGCAGCCTTGAACGCGAGCCATGTGTTTCCCCTGCAGCCTTGTTGGCTACCAGCACAGTGGAAAACTCCACCGTCTGTGAAAAACTCCTGACCGTGTAAATTCGCAGACTTCTCCTTATCTGCTTATGCCCCAATTCTGAGAAAGCAGGAGGAAGGAGCTGTAATATTTAGGCTTTGTGGTAAACATTCGAAAATATGTACTTTCTAGGTTCTGTCTTTGTTTAGTGGCATAACTTGCAGATGGAGAAACAGCAGTCATCGTCTTGTTTTTTCCCCACTACCACGCCGGAGATCTGACAACTGATACACCTAACATTGCAAACAGAAATATTCAGATACGCTCTTGTCAGTGATGGAAATTAAGTCCTAAGTCTGTTATTCGGAGACCGAAAAAAAAACTTAAATTAACTTACGCATGTGAGCGAATTACTGCATATTAGCTATGGTAATTGGCTGTAGGCAAAATTCAGACAAGCATGCAAACACCTAACATTTGCCCCAGTTTAGCAGTGCATGTATCGCCACCAGCAGTGGGTTGTCTAGCACAATGTAACTAGTGTCGTAATGGGTTTTTGTCATGGCAATCAAAAATTCCAGGAAAAACACTGCTTGTGGCAACACATATTCATGTTCTGTATTGACCAAATGTCTCTGAACTCAGCTGCTTAGAGGTTTTAGCTTGTTTAGACTCCAGCAGCTGCTTTTGTTCAGCTCGTGTTGGGTCTTTTTGCTTGCTTTTGGTTTTCCTATGCCATGGGTACATACCCTCTTTAGTTCTGTAGATTTTAAGGCCGGAATGAATAATGAGGGATCAGATTTAGTCCAACTTCAGAGCCATAGAGTTTCACCCAGATACACCTATGGTAAGGCCAGAGACGTTAGGTTAGGAGAACCAACGTGTGCTTGGCACTTGAGCCCTGTGCAATGCATAAACTGCCAGTTATGTGAAATCTCCTTAGGAGATCGCAGAAAATGAGCTGCAGAAGAAGGCAAGGCAATCCTGCTTAGCTGGCTTAGGGGAAAATTCTTTCTTCACCACCCCCTGGCCCTTTGCAATGTCCTGTCTCCAGACCTGCCAGCCTCTGATGCTCTGAGGGAAGGCAAATCTGTAAGAATGTGTGGCCCAACAGCAGATTGCACTTAGAAAGTTGCATCTTATTTGGAGGCTGAATTTGTCCAGTTACAGCTTCCCACCACTGAATCTTGTTATGCCTTTGCAGCAAGTTTGAAAAAGCTCCCATCAGCCTAAGAACCATGGTTCTTGCATACAGGCATCTGATGTGAAGTAACTGTAATTAGTTTTATAAATACGTATTTATTGTACAGCCTTGTATCTTTTCTTGTGGCCTGTGGTATTCTAGATGATAAAGTAGATGACCTAGCAATCTGTTCTGACCTTAAAAATCCAGGAATATATGTTTGTGGCCCTCTACAAAGGCAGACAGTAGTTGCCAGAGATCTTTTTCTGTTTCATCCAACAAGGAACTGGTAGAGAACTGAGACGTGGAATCAGCGATGTCTCTGAATGCTAATATCCCTTTATAATTAAGCAAAAATGAATAATTAGTGCAGCCTGATTTGCTGAAAGTCTTTGTGGTTTCGAATGCTCTCATTATCTCAGAATAATACCTAGCTTTGTAATGCCATCCTCAAATAATTATCTTCTGTGAGTTCTGGATAGTAAAACTGACAATGAACTAATCTGGCTTACAACTGCTAAGATACTCTAATAGACAAAATATTTGACTTGAAATACAAAATGCAATGAAAAGCAAGGTCCCCATGTCCAGAGAGACTAATGAGGTGCTCTGAAACCTATTGCACAGCGCCTGAGCTGCTGAAATGGTGTCGAAGTGTCATTGTAAGAGAGATTAAGCAGGAAT